ACAACTCATTTCACAAATAGAACAACTTGGAAAAATTTTGTTTTTGTTTGCAAACTCTACATCAAGTGACAAACACAACTGCAGTCATCCTTCCACAAACACAAATGTGGCCATCTTTTCCAAAATCATAGAACAAATCAAGTTTGTGAACCAAGGTACAACTGTAAAAGCTTTCTGAAGGTAGTCTACCTCCAAAGATAAAAGACTAACAGATTTTAGTTCTCTTAGTATAACTAAGAGCAAAAGATAAGGACTCTTACCTTCTGGAGAGGGAAAAGGAACCTACTGTGGCTAAATTAAAGGTACATGATGTGAGAATGCCTATCGCTAATATTTATCATACCCACGTTTTCCGACTTGATAAAAAAAAATGACATCAAAAATATTCTATATTATTTTCTTTGACTTTAAAGTCCAAAGAACAAAATATATGACAAAGGTAGTATTTCCGTGGTTGACAACTGGCTAAGATTACAAGGAGGAATTACAAAGCCCAAAGCGTGGGAGGTACGAATTTTGCAGAAAGCTTTAAAATCTGACCAAGGAAGCTTTCAACTACAATTTGGCTTAAAAGAAAATCTCATATAAGAAAACTAAAGAAAAAATATAAGCCTTGTTATTACTGAAGACAAGTAGTAATGAAAGTATTCAAAGTAGTTTCACTTGATTATTTCTAGGATCCACTCAGGGGAATAGTGGACATACTGTTGGGTTAAGTATAGATGGCTGCAAATCCAAGCATATAACCATCCATGAAACAATTAGCCAACAAATGTTCTTTGCTCCCCTGGACTAGCACATATGGTACCTTAAGGAAAATAGACTTATATACAACATATTGGCTAGAAAACTATCCTCCTTATGGCTTGAAAACTGTTTACTCAGAACAAAATCACAGCAAGCCTGTATAATGATCAACCCCTAGTTGAAAATTAATAAGGGCCAGTCTTCTTTGGGATATAAATGCCACTGATATTGGTAGCATCTGTGGGACTGAAACAATGAAAATCCTGATTGACCAATCCAGATCTCTTCCCAAACCTGAATATCCTCAAAAAGAGACTAAAACTAATAGTTGAAAGAAAATATATTGGAAGATTCCTTACATCTTACTAGTTCTTCTAACATTTCCATCTCCTAGGCAAAAAGCTCAGTGGTAGGTGGGTGGCCTGGGACTCAACACTTCCCTTGCAACCCTGGCCTGGGAATTTGATCACTTTGGAAGCATTCAGACCACTGACCATGTCAAAAGAGATAGCTTTGCCTACATCCAGTATGAGAGTTTGGATGCAGCCCAGGCAGCCTGTGCAAAAATGAGGGGCTTTCCTTTGGGTGGTCCAGATCACAGACTCCAGGTGGATTTTGCAAAAGCAGAAGAGCCTCCATATCTCCAGCAGTACCAGCCTTCACTCCTCTCTATGCACGATGAGCTTCTTACAGATAGATATACCCAGCACCGAACCCTGGGTGCAAACTTGCAGGTGTAAGACAGGACCCCTCCACACCTTTTGTACTCAGACTGAGACAGAACCTTTTTGGAAGGGAACTGGACCAGTCTCAGTAAAAGTTCTGACTACAGAAACAGGTTGGAGGGTTACAGTCACTCAGCGCACAGCTGGAGTAGAGTTCTAGGGAAGGGAAAGAGACAAGAGACATGCCCAAGCCCTAGAGGAGCCTTTCCAGTGATTGAGGGAGGAAAACCCACTCTCCATGTGAGGAACAGAGCAGGTCTAAGGATGGTGGGCAGCAGACTGACCATGGCTCAGACTGCACCCTTGAATGCAGCCACAAGGAGAACCATTCTATTGAAGGGAACAAGGAGTCAGGCAGAAATGCCCTCTGTAACAGCAGATATGGGCCTGAGGAGTACAGCCACCAGAGGCTCCAGACTTTTCCCACAGGAAGAAGACAAGAGAGTGTGCACAATCATCAGGCCACTGAAGCTGAGCCCAAGCCTCTCAAGGAGCCAAAACATGTATGCTCAGACACCACAGCTGAGTTGGAATGGGCCCGTGTGTTGAAAAATAGCTGTTACCCAACATCTATGCATATTGTAGAGGGACATTAGGGAGTCACAGTGGTCTCCTCAAAGACCACACTTCTGGGAGCAAGCTGACCCAGCTAAAGATCACTCGGCACCTTCTAGTGCATCAGCTCAAGCTTGACTAGGTCACACAGCACATCAAGCAGGGGAGCCTCAATAGCTACACCATGCTTCTAGTCACCCAGGCAGACCCCAGCGGGCCTGGCACTGATGCGATGGCCACAGTGGAACCAGGCCTGCAGAGGTGGCTTCTCAGGAACCTGGTCTCCTACTTGAAAAAGAAGCAGACTGCAGGCTTCAGGGGTGATCAGCCTACAAGTGTGTGGGGGGTGTGGGGAGAGGGCATGATATACATCTTCCTATCCTACAACTTCTTGGGCATCATGGGCATGATATACACCTTCCTATCATACAACTTCTTGCAGCAGTATCTGCAGTCAGTCCTGAGGACACTGGGCAAGCTGGAAGAGGAACACATGGTGATAGTGACCATGAGAGACATTGCCTAACCCCAACTCAAGAGCAGTTACTTTTCAAATCTGCTTCCTTCTCTACCTGCTCCCTTAGTTTGAATTTTCTTTTGGATTAATTGGGTTCACTTGGTGGGGATCAAAGTTCTGTCCACTGCTAAATCTAAGTCCTTAGATTGTGGGGATTTTTTTTTCCACAAAAAGAACATGTTATGTTGACTTCTCTAGTGTATAAAATGCTGTCTGCTGTACTGTTTTGTTTTTTTTTTGTTTTTTTTTTTTTTGTTTGTTTGTTTGTTTTGTTTTTACTAACTGTATGGAAAGTTCAGTAAAGCCTCTGTCAGGATCTAAACAACAAAAAGCCCAATAGATAAGTATGGTTATATAGGTCCCCACAGCTACAAAAAAGACATTCATTCTCCATTTACCTATGATGTTAAACCTAATTATTATTCATCTTTGGTCCCTCCAAAAGCTACATGTTTTAAACCTACCACTTTAGTGTTCCTTTAACACAAAATAGCTAAATGTGTTTTCTCCTAAAAGATAAAATCTCTAGTTTATGTGGAAGTTCCAGGAGTTCTCTGCCACTTCTCATAAACCCCCAATCAAAATATCAAAGCTGTTCGACTTCCCCAAGATTATGCTTTTATCTAGAAACTGAGCTGTGCTCTAAAGTTGAGACAATCTCTAAGACCGAGTCCATCTACACCTCCCATTAACTCAAACTGTTACAACTTTATCAAGGTAAAATGTTCTACCTAAGACGTGATTTATCCTAAGATAAATTCCTCACTGAAAACCCAGAAAAATTCTTGATAAATTCCCTGGATCACCAAGTCCCATTATTATTTACCCTATGATTTTCAATGGTGTTTCATCTTCTTGTCTTGACCAGTATTTTCCAACTTCATCTTTCAGGCCACTAACTCCAATTTCAACAGCAGCTATGATTTCTGATATATACCAAATTGTTCTGCCTGGACACCTCATTTTATACCTCCCAACAACACTGTGCTGCAACTGAATCTGCCTAAGTTGTCTTATTATCATCTCCTTAGACCACTCTATTCCTGGAAGTTCTGCTCTTCCCCTGGTGTGGCTCATTTTTCTTTCCCAGCTCTTGCTATATAGTAGTATCCTAAAATAAAGAGAACCATAGGAAAAGGCAATATTCTCCACCCTCCAGACACTGTCCTTAGCTCTTCACTGTCTCTTTTCACAGAACTACATATACAAAATCCTCTGTCCTGTGACTGCACAAGTTCTCAATGTGACTACTCCCAGAAGTGTTAGGCTGGACAGTGAGACCAACTTTGACCAATTAACTATAGCAGACACAGCAATGTGGTGGTTCTAAGCCACAGAGCAGATATAGTGTATGCATGGTTCTGCTTGTCCTTCTGCACTTCTGCCATCTGCCTTGAGAACTGTTTGCCCCAAGCAGTCCTGCTCTCAAAATGAAGCAGCATGCAATGTCCTGAACCTAGTCCTCCTAGATCCATCAATGAGAAAAATAAGTGTATATTTATTTTTGATTATAACATATCAGGGAAAAATAAAAAGCCCGAACAATGATAAAGAGAAGCTGTTGCTGAAGAAAGAATTATAGCCTCCTAATGCCCCAGTGAAATACTGGAAAACCTCTCTGAAAAATGTTTTTATCTAACATCACAAATAAAAAGGACTCTACTCACACTTTTTATCCTAGAGAAACTTGGGAGACCAAGCAAAAGCCAACTGACAGAAAGTTCTTAGATCTCCAGACACATTCTCTTCCAGAAGAATCTCTACTTCAACTCTTATCACAAGGGTAAGGGTATTTTTACCTCTGGTCCTGTACACTGTAGCACTGAAACCCTACAAATGCTACCTCACTAGGGGCAGGAAAACTGAAGGGCCTTTGGGCACATGGATTATCTAAAGCCCACCCAAGTAGGTACCAGGATCCAGAGAGGAAAACAGACTGCAGGTGGGAGTAAACAGAGCAGAAGGATTCATTTAGAAGGTCACCATTTTCCTGAAATTGATCTTCCTAAAATATTTATTAAATTCATATGTTATACTACTTTGAACATCAAATTACATTTCTTTACTTATACTCTCTTGAAAATCAAAATGAAGCTGGTATGTACACAGGAAAAAAAAACAGATGAATCTCCTCTATCATTTACTTTATAGTGTAGGAGGAATATAATGCTGCTGCATTATATAGGATTTTGGAAAAACAAAGACAAATCTTATTTACCACTTCATGATGTAAGCACATGATGTTACTGGATGATACAGAGCTGTATCTAAGACCTACAAAATCAGATTTTAAAATAGTTAATTTGCAAATGAACCTATTCTATATTACTTAAGACTAATTCTGAAAGGCTCTATCGAAATTAAGACATCTTCAAGTAACAAATATCAGACTGGTAACAGCCAAATGGCTCAAGTACTGTATACTCCTCTGGAGGTTCAATCGTGTTCCAACTTACCATTGTCAAGAGGTGCATCCTCAGGCAGATCCACATCAAGCATAAGATCATCATCCTCAAGATCACATGACTCGAGATTATTCAGAATATCCTATAAACAAAAGCAGTTAAAAAAATTATAACTAGCTCAAGGAATGTGTTAAACTATTAGTTTTGAAAACATCACCAATATAGATAAGCTGGATGTATCCAATGTTTGCATTAAGAATAAAACAAGTTTTTAAATTAAATATATTCAATTCAGCTACAGTTCAGATTTTGGATCTCTATCAAAATCCCGTGTATTAAAGGTTTTGCTCCAGGAGGTATTACTGAGAGGCAGCAGACCTTACAGGAGGTGGAAGAAAGTTGGGGCACACCCTTGCAAGGACACTGGGG